ATTCATACTGGAGAGAAACCTTACCAATGTAAAGAATGTGGCAAGGCCTTTAACCAGCACTCAAAGCTTACTGAACATCACAGAATTCATACTGGGGAAAAACCTTACATATGCAAAGAATGTGGCAAGGCCTTTAACCGACACTCACACCTGACTCGACATCACAGAATTCATTTTGGACAGAAACCTTACATATGTAAGGAATGTGGCCATGCCTTTATCCAGCACTCACACCTGAGTCAACATCACAGAATTCATACTTGAGGGAAAGCTTACCAAAGTAAAGAATGTGGGAAGGCCTTTAATCACTGTTCAACCTTTACTCATTATCACAGAATTCATAGTGGAGCAAACCTTACAATTTTGAAGAGTGTGAGAAAACTTTTAAGGACTACTCACCCCTTACTCCACATTAGAGAATTCATAGTGGAGAGTAACCATAAAATTGTAAAGAATGTGGAAAGGCTTTTAAGCAATGGTAATTCCTGATCAGAGAAAGTGTATTGGAGAAGATTTTGAAATATGAAGAATTTTGCAAGCCCTTTACTCAGAGGTCACGTTTCATTCAATATCACAGAATTCATACTGGGGAAGAACTTATAAATGTAAAGAACATGGGAAAACTTTTAGAACTGCTCAACCCTTTCCAGCATCTCAGAGTTTATACTGAGGAGAAACATCACAAAGTTAAAGGGTGTCACAAGGCTCTAGCTGGAACTCACAACTTACTCAACATCATAGCAATCATACAGCATAGATAAATGTAAAATGTAGAGAAAGTTGCAGTGCCTTTAACTGGAATTCAGTCTATACTCAGTATCCCAAAATGCACACTAGATTCAAACCCTAGAAACATAATCAATGAGGAAAGACCTTCATTTTAAATATTCACTGTAGCAAACACCAGAGAGTACATAAAGGTAAGTTACTTGAAAGATGTAAATATTTAGAAATGTATGTAAGTAAACATCAAATGTCAATAATATCATAGAAATCAAGTAGAAAGCAGTACATGAGTCAATCTATTCAGACATTATATCAAAATACTCATTATAAGGACTAATACAAAGTTAAACACTTAGAAAATGTATATGCTATTATGCTTCAAAAGAACAAGTGGATGGATTTTTGCATAGATATCATTAATTTCGATATGTCCTTTTTTTTGTTTTTGATTATGTTCTTGTTTTTTGGGGTTTGTTTTTTGTTTTGTTTTGTGTTTTGTTTTGGTTCATTGACCCTATCTGGGATTTGTGACTAGCAAATATTAACGTATTTGTACTCTCAAATCACTTGAGAAAATTCATTTATTCCTAGTGGGTTTGTGAAAGTATGTGGCTGATTGTTGTTGCATCAAAGATATGAGATGCCCTTCTTCATTAGGTGGGACTCATGCATATCTAATTGTCCATGGAAGAAGAAAGACAATATAACATATAATATATGAAGAAAATCTAAATGGAGATGCTGTTTGTGGTTATAACATTAATGTCAGTTATGATGGAAGAAGTGTTCAGAACATCATTATTCGCCATTTATTAAAACTAAAGAACTTCCTGGATATTATAAATAAAATATTTTCTCATCTGGTCTTTGAGAAAAAAGAGGTGCCAGTCCAGTAAAATACTGATGTATCTTCATAATAGCTATAGTTAGAAGTAGAGGATGTCAGGTGATGTGCTTGAAATGAAGAAATCCTCAAAGATACCAAAAGAGGATAACTCTTTCCTAAAATGGCATAGGATTACACATAAAATTTTTAAGAATGATTTCATGCCTGAAAACAATGGAAATCACTACTCCCACATCATGATATCAGCACACAAATGCTTTTTAATGCTTGTATTCCGTATTTCCAAAAAGGGTTATACAGTGGATTTGAAATGTATAACTTAGTCTGTGTGTGAACGTAATATATTTTAATTAATAAAACATAATGATTTTTAACATGTTATCATGGATGAGTAGTGAATGAAGTGTTATCCCACCATGAATGTTAACCTATCTCATTTTACATAAGGTTGTAGGCAACTGATGAAATCTATCACTTATTCAGTAATCGTGTGGAATAACATACCTGGTAATCCGTTTCCTCGGTGGCCTTAAAGTCTAAATAATGTCTGATTACTTTCCCCCTTGTTTATCTACTGTATCATTTTCTCCTCTTTGGGACTAGTGGGGTATTATAACAGACATATTACAGATTATATGGGGGTCTTATTGAGTGATTAGCTCAAGTACTCCATGATACTGCTACTTGGCATCCATTTTGTGTTGACAATACTTTTGCAGGGGACTTGAATTGACAGCAGCTTCTCTCACTAGTGCATTCCCTAGACAATACCCTGCAGAGTCACCAGTTAATGTAACCTCTGACATGACATTCCCAATCCGCCCTTGTGAGCAACCATGTCCGCTAACTACCATGACTTTCCCCTCGTGTGTCCCTTAGAGAAGACTCTCACAGAGCTTACCTAAACCTATTTTAGTTTTTAATGGCCCGATCTGGATATAGCCCTGGGACTCTAAAGCACTGCACCATGGCCCCTAATAAAGTTATGTGCCCTACTTCATACGTGGGGGTGTTGTTTTGATGTTTCTGTGAAGTAAAGACACACTTATAACAGTGCTTGGTGTATAATAGATCCCCATAAGTAGGAGAAACCTATTCCAATAGGAGTGATGCTGTAGCCCCAAGTAAGGGATAGAAAATACAGAGGATGAAGAATTGGCATGACTTCTGCATGTAGAGGAGGACACCTGTCCCAGGTTGCACAACTGACTCCCTGGATTTAGAAAAATAACATCTACTTGTTTATTTCCTAGTTATCTCCAGATCTCCAGTTCTGTTTATCCTCATTTTTATTTCCAGCTACATAGGCATCACAGACATTCTTCTTTGCCTGTGTTGTGGCTAGAGTATCTTCAGTAAATGCTTCATTGAGATGAGAAAGATATAAGGCCAATGGGTATAAATTCAGACATTTAGCACTGGGTTGTGGGATGTGAATATAAGTAATACATGATGATGGCACCAAACTTAGAAAAATAAGACCTATTAAAATGTGAAGAACTCTTTCTGATGTGGGGAGGGAACCAGAGGTGGTTCCCCTCTAGCCACTGCAAAGGCCCAGGCAGCTCTTGGTGTTGTCTTCTGATGAATAAATATAATGGACATAAGGAATTGGCAAATGTGGGTTCCTGAGCATTGGGGAAGTTCTCCTTTATGTTCATGATTTAATTGAATTCCTTTGTGTGGATGAGGACCAGATGCTGTTGGATAACAATGATGACTGATTGCTCAGGCCTAGATCAGTGGCAGTGGATGGAGTAGGGGGAGTTGGATGACACAAACATTGTGGGCATAGCTTAAAAATGTCACATGGCAGCGTGGCTGTCGAAGATGAAGAAGCCTTCTGGACACTGTAATAAACGGGATCAGCAAGGTGTGTGCTGTGTTTGCAGAAAGCGCTAGAATCCCAGGTATATAACCCCAACGTAGGTTAGATCCACTGTAGGTGGTGACCTTTCAGGGAAGGTGATGCACTGTTGTGCGGGACCTTCCTCCCTTTAGTCGGTGCCATGATGAGTGTAGTCCCGAGCTCTGGCTCTGGCAGTTGCATGGATTTGTTGGAGGAGTTCAACAGTCAGTAGCAGTGAACATTTCTACTTCAAGCAGTCTAGCCCAAGTGTTCATTGACTGAGAAATGAACAAAGAAGATACGAGATATATATAATGAAATTTTGCATGGCCATAAAAAGGAGTTCAATCTTTCTATTTGCAATGACATGGAGGGAGCTAGAGTGTATTATGCTAAGTGAATGAAATCAGAGAAAGACAAATACCATAGGATTTCACTCATGTGGAATATACGAAACAAACAAGCAAAGGGGAAAAAAGAAGACCAGCAAACCATGAGAGACTCGAATTTCAACTATAGAGAAGAAACTGATGGATACCAGTGTGGAGCTGGATTGGAGAATGGGTTAAATAAGTGATGGGAATGAAGCTGTGCATTTTTTTGTTGTTGAGAACTGGGTATTGTATGAAAATGTACAATCACTATTGTACGCGTGGAACTAATATTACATTGTATGTTAACTAACTGGAATTTAAATAAACCTTTTTAAAAATGTTTTGTTTTTTACAAATATAAGAAAACTTTTAACTGACGTGCAGCGGTGGCAGAAAATATACCTTTGTAAAAAAATGAAAGATTTATCTTTTCTCCATTCCTGATTCCTCCAGAATTCAGAAAATCTCAGTAACTATTCTTATATTTTTATGCCAATATGTGTATTTGCATAATTTCAGTAAAAAATCTGTTCTCATTGTGGTAAGACACAGTCAAACACTGGTTATACAACCAAGGCTTTGACTAGAATGTTCATGCTAAGAAAGAACTGCATAGACTCAGATATGATGAGACAGCTGTAAGGAACTAAGATTGAACTATATCGAGTCAATAAAGCCTCCTTGGAAATGTCAGCCTGATACTTTGCTTATAGAATTCCTCACAGCTTACCAGGTGAGCAAGGAAGATCACTTCCCAACAGCTGCAGAAACCTCAGGATATTTAGGGGACTGCATGAAGACAGAAATTCACTCAAATCTGTAGTTATTGTAGACAAAGTCTGGTATCAAGTATTTGGCTTGGCTTGTGGCCTAGAGAAGCTATTAAAAGCTCAATCTAGAGATTGCGTATGAAAAGTTCCAGCAAAGCTGTTTTGTTTTGTTTTGTTTAAGATTTATTTATTCATTTAAGAGAGAGAGAGGATCAGGGTAGAGACAGAGGGAGAGGGAGACAAGCAGACTCCCACTGAGGAGGGAGCCCAAAGTGGGTCTTGGTCCCAGGACCCTGAGATCATGACCTGAGCCGAAACCAAGACTCAGATGCCCAACAGACTGAAAACAGCCCTGAAAGCTGTTTTGAAAGAGTCTATAGGTCAACCTCTATTCTTCCTGCACTTATGTAAATAATCAGGCCAATTTTTTTTTTTTTTACTTAGACTTGTTTTGCAATCAAATTATTGTCAATTTGGTTATCTTTGGTAAAAATGCAGGTAAGTATAGAGAAAAACTGTATTTCAATAACACATCTTTATAGATACTAGATTTTAATACTATTCTTCATCAACTGAACTACATCCTGATTTCTTCTAGTGTCCTCCGGTGCTGGCTACAAGTCCCTAAACATTTTTATTTGCCTCCCACCTTTCTGACTTGGAATCATTTGAGAACTAAAATTGCCTCTTTTCCTGAAGCTCTGCAAACATAATATGAATGACTTGATAGTGGCACCTGGGTGGCTCAGTCATTCAGCATCTGCCTTCGGCTCAAGTCATGATCCCAGGGTCCTGGGATCGAGCCCCGCATTGGGCTCCCTGCTCAGCGGGAAGCCTGCTTCTCCCTCTCCCACTCCCCCTGCTTGTGTTCCCTCTCTTGCTATGTCTCTTGTCAAATAAATAAATAAAATATTTTTTAAAAATATGAATGACTTGATAAAAAGGAATTGTCATAATAGCTCATGCATAGACAGTCTTAGGGCTGTCACTCTATGGGCCACTGAAATATTACCAACGGCATTTAAACTATAAACAAGGAAGATCTGTCAGGTTGCCCCTACCTGCCCTCACTCTGTCTGAAGATGCTTCAAATCTGACATCCAGAAGTGTGCTCAACTGGCTACCCTTAGAAGTCAGAACCTGGCTTAATAGTCTATCTGATCATGAAGCATATTTCATTTGATTTCATATAAATGCCTCATTTAATCACATTACTTGTGTCACAGGGCTAACTGAAAAGTACGTCTTTATCACTGGCTCCTGAAATGAGGTTAACTAAACTGACCTATTGTCAGGAGTAAAATGTTGGATCACTGACATGAAATAATCGATCAGGTCAACTTTTAATATGTGAAACTCCCAAGGAAGTTTCAGATGGAGGAACTGAGGAGGAGGGATCAGATGGAGGGATCAGGAGTTTCAGATGGAGGGATCAGGACAGCCTCTCCGTCCTCCCAACCCCCCGAATGTGTCATTTTGGCCTGTGGATAACTTGAGCCGAAGGTACCTGAGAACCTGCAGACTCCAGAGAACATCCCCACCCCCCCTTAACCCCATAGAAGAATCTAAATTGCGGGGGGGAGGGTCTTTCAATGACAAAGTTTATCTTAGTTACCCATCTATAAGGTAGGACAAACATCTAATTACCAAATAGTTGCTCTTCTTACCACCCTGTGAAGGGTTTTTCTTTCCTGTGAAGCTCCAGGTCCCGACCCTCTTTTCCTTAGTTCAAGATGACATTTTTACCTCATCTTACCTGACAGTCTTTTGAATTTCCATGTCTCTGTGGACTCCCTGTATTTTCACATATTTAATTTGATAGTTTCCTGTTAATGTCTCCTGTCAATTTGATTCTAAGTCCAGGTAGAAGGGTCTTTGAAGGGACATGAATTCTTATTCTCTGACAGAGTATTTAATTTTAGTTCCTCATTTCCTGGCATCCTATTTATTTATTTGAGAGAGCGCACAAGCTGGGGGGAGGAGCAGAGGGATCAGGAGTAAGGAGCCAGACAAGGTGCTCCATCCCAGGACCCCAGGGTCATGACCTGAGCTTAAGGCAGATGCTTAACTGGCTGAGCCAATCAGGCACCCTTCCTGGCATCTTAATAAAATAAAAATATGGTGGAGCAGTATGAAGTACTTTTACAGGATTTGACATTTTTGAGGTCAATTTTTGTCACTGTTTCAGTAGGTCCCTTTTTTGTTTCCTTCATGGATACTATCTTGTCAATGTTTCCTTTAAAATCTTCTTAGTAGCAATCAAAATAGGTATTCCACTCAATTTGTATAGTTTAGTAGATCGCTCTCTCAAGGAGGATGCATAAGTACACAAATTAAGTATTTCAAGGGGTCTTCATTTAGGCCACTTCAGCATTAATTTAATCATTA